ACCTCGACTGAGGGGAAGGGTTAAGTAATATCCCAGAATGCTTTGCACCTTCCCCAGAAACCACCCCTTGCAGGGTAGGTAGGCTAGATTTGGCCTAAGCTGTCTGCTCCAGCCCAGCAGGGAGGCATACTCTAGTACCCCTCCCAGTTTATGGCCTAGGCCATTACAGGCATTTGTCTGCATTTCCAGGATCAAAAGTGAATGTCTTTTCACTACCTTATTGGTTGAGTTCACACAACTTAGATTAACTTGCAAAGATTGAATTGATTCAGCCTTGGGCTTTTTGACTCTGTACTTAACCCTGGTGAAGTTCATTTTTTGTTTGTTTGTTTGTATTTGCTGTTCTTAATTTTATCTTTTCAATAAAGAATTCAGCATAAGTCTGTTAATTCAAAGTGTTACTAAGTGCATCTACAAACTCCCAAGTTCAGGGACATTTCCTTGTGTACAAGGAAATTAGGCCAGCAGTATAAAATGATCCTTTATGTTGCCTGTGCCTTGTGAACTTACTGTCCTTAATGAGAACATGAAATGTAGAAAGACTAGTGTGATACAGGTACGACAACTAGCATCTTGTCAGAACACAGCTCTTATCTTCGCTGTCAGTGAAACAGAATCACACACCTTGGCCCTAAAAGTTAGCATGCCCAGGATAAATATATTTTGACAAAGATGTCCCTGAGCCTCCTGGCAAGACTGAGATACATGCAGTAGAAAGAACAAAATGTACGTCTGTTTCAAGGTGGCCATTGCCAGGGCCCTTTATAGATAGGATCGGCAGCATATTTTGAACTATCAATGAAAAAAAATAAGGAGAAAAGGTCAGTGCTCAGTTGTCTGGCCTATTTAAACTTAGAATTTTTTTTAAAGGAAAAAAGTGTGCTTGATAAGTATTCAGAGCCACTAGCAGCTGGGGTGCATGCTGAATCTATGAAGAATGCTGCTTTCTCCCCTTCAAGGTATGAAATAATGTGTTTATTTTTGATAGCAGAATACTTCTGAAGGAGATGTGCAGAACAGTTAGATACGGTAGTAGGTGTTTTAGTAGGATGGCCTACAAGGTGGATTAATAGTTGAAACTTTCACTATATTTGGTAATCCACTAAGGAAACTCACCTATACACAATATTTACTCCACTCCAAAATGAGGTCCCCTCCCACTGCCCATTTGACATGGGAAAACCAAAGCCTTGTCTTAGATTGAGTACTTGCACTCAGCACTGAGTCCTGTGCCGCTCCCTGGCTCCATACCGATTCCAGTGCCACTTTTTTGCTCTACACTAGGTCCTGCACTACTCCCTGGTTGATTTTGATGTATGTACTGTATTATGATTACAAGATGAAGTCATATTTTGAACTGGGAAGCAATGCTACACAATCAGCATATTCTAGACATAGTCCCTTTCAGTTGTATATTTATTATACCTGCCAGGATTAACTACTCTAACTCTACTCAGTCTTGGCCAATAGATATTAAAATACTGCTAAACGTTTGGTTTCCAAGTTTGTATTTGGGTCTTGTCCAGGCACTGGCAGGCCTCTGAATCCCTCTGGCAGGCCTCTGAATCCCTCAGCTCCTCACTGACCTCAGCGGGGTCCTATTTAGGTACACAATGACATCAGTACACAGCAGCTTGCAGGGTCAGGGCCCCAAGATAGTCTGGAAGTCAGGTCAGTCTTTCTCACCATAAACTTCAAAGTAAAAATCACATATTACAAACATATATACGCATATAACCTCCCTTGTTGTTAATAACATTATAGATAATTTCCATAATTTATTTTTCAATCACAGTTAAATTCTCTAAATTCTCTCTATTTGGATAATGAAAATCAGCAACGTCTGTTTCAATTTCAGGTCTGCAGTGCTCAAGTATTTCGGCTATAATCACTGTAGTGTAAATGTTTATTTAAAAATAACAATGTCTGCTGGATTGAAAAAATGACAAAAAATGTAAAAACTTGTTGGAGCCAACAATTGAGTTTTCAGCTTAAGGAAAGCTTTTTAATTTGGTGGTTCTGCTTCATCAACTGTTAACCTAACGGTGAACATGTCTTTTCAGAACAGTAGTGTAATCCTTTCTTTTTCAGTGATCTAGCTATGGGAAAGCTGAATTGGGGGAAAGCAAATTTATTTTCTTTTGCACCATGAATATGATTGTTTTCTTGGTTTCTCATCTGGAAGGAAGGCTGTGTGCAGTTACTGTTGTTGGGATACTGTACAGATGCCTTCCAGAAAGCTTTCTCCTGCTTGCATCATACCTACATCCTTCCAAAACCTGAAACAAGGCAGATTCAGAAATAAGTATTACAGTAAGGGAGAAAGGATGGGTCCTTCAACTGAACTCAAGCATTCTGAGTCCAATTACATGTCTTGCTATAGGTTCTCTGTGTGACTTTGGGAAAAAGTTATTTAAGACCCAATTTTCTAAACTGCTGTAAGCTTACAAGTCCCCCTGAAGCAAGAACCTACGGGTGCTCAGCTGCCTGAAAATCAGGTCCTTAAATCTTGGTTTTGAGCAATGCCCTCTCCCAGTCACTCCAATTTCAGTTGTGGGTACTTAGCAATGTTGAAAACCAGCTTCTTAAACAGTCTGATCCTCAATTCCCCACTAGTAAGAATGGGCTAATATTAATGTTTATCTCAGAGGCATAGAAAGGATACAGTGACAGATACCTTAACTGTACTTAAACCATAGAGTGATGGGAGTATATCAAGAATCTGGATAATGTAACTATTCTTTGTAAAAATGAACATACCAATTTCATTGCAAAATGCAGTGAGCTCTGTGCTAGCAGTGGTCTGCACAAAGAACCTCAAAGGGCATCAACGTAGACCACTGGTCCTCAACCTTTTTTAAACTCAAGGCACCCCTTGTTAGACTCAAAGCACTCCTCACAAAATGACAGCTCTTACTAGTTTTCATGTTTTTGACTATGGAATAACAGAGCAATTCTTCTCTTGCAAATAGCTCAGGAAGACCACAGTAGGGCAGAATGGTTTTGACATTATGGATTCCTACTTGAAATCTCTGAGTTGATGTTGTGCACCCTGTTTGCATACTCACAGCGCTAACACTGCATGGCAACCCCCAACACCCTTGGGAGAATCTCCAGGCACCTGGTTGAAAACCACTCATGTAGACACAAAGGCTGCCTATACATGTACACATTGCTGCAATGTCACATGTATTAAGCCCCCGTGTGTTTTTTAATCACTGTGGAATGCTTTATCTATACCTTGTTGAACGAGGTTTAGATAAAGCGTCCTGAGGCCATTTTTAAATGCATGGGGGCTTAATATACACGATGCTATGGCATTTTAATTAGAGCAGCTGCCCGGGAACCGTTTTAATTAAAATGCCTCCCCCCCACACACATGTATAGGCAGCCAAAGGTCATGGTGTGGTGAGCATGCTACAGAAAGAGAGAGAGCCTGTCTACACAGCTTGAGAGAAGTATTTATTGTGCTGTGTAGCATTTCCCCCCTACTCAGACTGCATGGCATGGGTACTTCATAGCTGGGGTCTCAGGTGCAGCATGTAAGCAACACAGATGTTCTCTAAGGGTTGGCTGGCAAGGCAGCACCTGCAGCACGTCTCCCTGAGCTGGTGTAAGCTAGTCCCCTCCATACTGAGAGCAGCCTGACAGCCTGGAGCTCAGTGTGGGCTTAGCCTTCCCCAAGAGCTGCTCGGCTTCTCAGACAGGGCTCACAGCCTGCGCTCACTAAGGTGCTGCTCAGCTACCAGGCTTGTCTGGGTGCCTCTACTCGAGCTGCAGCCACTGCTGAACACTGCGGGGTCTTCCCTTCAGATTCACTTTCCTGTCATGAGGCAGGACCAGGGCCTGGGTAGGCTGTGATGATGCCAGGAGAGGAGAGAAGTCCCACTGGACTGGTGGGGCACCTGCCACATGACTGGGCCTCTAAAGTTAGACACACATACACAGATGCATGCACACATGGACACAGATGTGCACAGACACACACACACAAATACAGAGGCACACACAGGGGCACATGCACACAGATGTGCACAGACATGCACACAGATAGCTGTGTACAGACACAGATGCACACATAGGAACAAACATGCACAGCTGTGCATGCATGCACACAGATGGGCACATAAGCATGCACGCACACATGTACAATGTACATACACATATGCAGACACACAGACATGCACATGCACAAAGGTACATACATGTATGCAGACTTGCACAGGTGTATATACATGTATGCAGACACATGCAGACATGCACGTGTGTGAAAACACAGGCATGCACACACGTGCACACAGACTCACACAGATGCACACAGGAACAAACAGATGCACAGATGTTCATACATGCACACAAATGGGCACATAAGCATGCATGCACACACAGCAGTACATACATGTATGCAGACACATGCACACACGCACAGATATGAAGACACATATGCACAAAGACACACAGGCATACACACGGGCATACACACAGACAGACACAGACACAAACAGATGCACAGACGTGCTCACGTGCACACAGAGACACACACAGGAACAAACAGATGCACAGCCATGCATACCTGCACACAGATGGGCCCATAAACATGCATGCACACACACAGCTGTACGTGCATGTATGCAGATACACGCGCAGACATGCACACATGTACATGGATGTGTGCAGACCCACGCACACACGTGAACACGCGTATGCACAAGCACACACACACACACACACACAGAGGTATGCCCACAGCCAGGCGCGCGCGCACAGACACGCACAGATGTGTAGGCACAGTTGTGACACGAGCACCCGCCCGGAGGTGCGCGCACAGCGCTGTGGGGACACACGAGCACGGCCAGGGGCCCGTGCCGGAGGCGGCGCTGCGGGCGGGGGCTCTCGGCCCCGGCGGTGCAGCAGCGGGTTAGGCCCGCAGCTCCCGGCCCGGCCCATCCGCATCCGGGT